CTTTGTATAATCCCTTGTACTTGAACATGGGTAGAACTTTGAATTTGTTTCTAAACAGTAAAACATGGCAAAGGTGAAGGATGCTTCTTCCATAATTAGGTTATAAAGGGTTGTAATTTTCACCTTCCCACCGTCCTGTCTCTGACTGTTTTGATGAGGTAAGCTACCCTTGTGATGGGCCTTCATGACAAGGAATTGAAGAAGGGTGGCCTCTGGCTAAGAGCCAGCAAGGAAGTGAGGACCGTCTGTCCAGTTGCCCACAAGGACCTGAATAACACCAGCAGTCATCAGAAGAGCTTAGAAGTGGATCTTTTGCCAGCTGAACTTTCAGATGAAACCATAGATCTATGCTAACATCTTTTTTTTAATACTTTTTTTTATTAGAAAAATACTGTACAGAAGGGTTACATGAGCAAGGTCATGAGTACATTTCCTATCAAGCATTGTTACCTCCTCCTTTGTTTTTCCCCTACCCACCCTTTCTCTTTCTTCCCTCCCCTCAAATTGTAAAGTTCACTTTTCACCATAGTGTCTTGTACATCTCATTGTTACAATAGATCAACCTGTATCCCTCTTTAAGCATTTTGTTTTTTCCCTTCTCCTCCCCACCCTAGAGAAGTATATATACAAGATGCAGGGCACCGATATCAAATACAGTGAAAATGGGTTATACCATGGGGGAGGAACATACAAAGAAACAAAAAAAATTACATGGTACATTATAAATACAGTAGGAACAATAGAACCCCTATCTTGGGATTCTGTGCTAACATCTTGATTGCAACCTGTGTTGAACTTGGCTTAGACTTGGAAAGAGAAGCTGGTGTGTTCACTGGCTAAGCTTGAGGTCATTTGTTTTGTATCAGTAGTACAATATACTTCTGTTGTTAGAATTTATACTCCTAGGTATCTACTCGAAAGGAATTGATAACCTATAGACATGATTATGAATATTCAAAGCATTGGTATTGACTGGTAACTAGGTGAACATAATGTGGTCTTTTCATACAATGTCACACTGCCCATCAATCCAGAGGAAGGAGCTACTGATATAGGCCACAAGGCTAAGGTAGCCAAGTGTGAAATATTCACATTCTACGATTCTATTCAGTAGAGACTTCTAGAAAAGCCACCACTGTTAGAGATTAAGCAAATAGTGATTTTACTGGGCTACCAGTAGGAATAGGATTTGATTGCCGTTACATATAATTGGTTGTCCTCAAATCCAAAATTTTAGAAATTCCCTGAAAATTTTTAGACTACCGACAGTATCATATGTGAATCATTTCAATACAGCTTTAAATAAGTAGCTTAATTTTTTTCTTTTTCTAATTGTTATTGTAAGGGTGATGTACAGAGGTGTTATAGTTATATAAGTCAGGTAAAAGCTACATTTCTTTTTGAACAGTGTCACCCCTTCCCTCACTCTCTCCCAGTTTTTCCCTCCCCTTCCCACTTACAAGTAATATAATTTTACCCTCCACTTACTCTGTTCAGTGGGGGCTAATGTTTGGAGATAATTTTATTTTTGCCCATCCTTGTACAATCCTTCCCCACCCCTGATCTTACCTGTTGGGAATTCCCTTTAGGCAGGTTGGACCCAGAAAAGTAGTTGCTAGAAGCTATTTAAATTTCACAGTGTTGTAAATACCTTGGTGGATAGATTTGCTTTTCAGGTTTTGTCTTGTTCTTTTCTATGCCCTCTTAGGTTGAAAATGACCAGCACTTTGTAATTTTTAACAAGCAACATTTGTCTCTACTGAATGCCAAGCTGCGGTTAATTGCTCCTGGGATCTTGAGTTAACAGATCCCCTCTACCCGCACCCATCCTTCTCTCCCTTCCTTGAAAACAATTTCTGTAAAACCTGCTCTATTACCCTCCCTTCTTCCCCCTTCCTAAAGCAATTTCAATAGATTTTATAGTTCTCTTTTCATAAACTCAGACAATCAATCTGCTTATATTCATTCTTTCACCCTCTGAGTTAGCCCAATCCCCTCTGCTAGTACCCACCCCACAACAGAACTGATTTCTCTTTCCTTGTCCCCTGTGAGTCAGGGATTTTCTTCTTATGTTAAGTGCATTTGTATCTCCAGCAGTTCCTTTTCACAGGTGAAAAACCAAACAAGGATTTGTTTCCGTTGCTTTTACTTCACTCTTCTGGGGCCATTGTGGAATTATCTGAGAATGAACTGATCTGAGAATGTTTCTTCTTAGTTTTCTTCTCTGCCAGTAAATTCTCCAAGGGCTTTGTGAATACACAATGTATTGTGCATGAATTCCCTCAAATAATACTCATAACTTGGTCAGCTCAATTAGACTATATACCAGTGCATATATTTTTTGATCTGTCTCGCCCTTTCCTTTTAAAATTCCCTTCTTAGATTTCAAACTCCATGAGCATAGAATTTTTATTTTTTTAAATTTTGTTTGCTTCTTTCTTCCTTTACCTTTTAAACTAGCATTTGGGCTTAAACTCAGGGCCTTGTACTTGCTTTGCTTTTTTTTCTGTTCAAGGCTGGTGCAGGAAAGTGGAGCCATACCTCCATTTCTGTTTTTTTGGTGGTTAATTGGAGATAATCTCATTCTCTGCCTGTCCTGACTTCAAACCAGTAATCCTCAGATCTCAGCCTCTTGAGTACCTAGGATTACAGGCATGAGCCACTGGCATCTGACTGTAGAATTTTTAGTTTATTTTTTTGTGCCTGTCCTGAGGCTTGACCTCAGGGCCTGACCATTGTTCCTGAGATACTTTTTGTGAAGGCTAACATATTACCACTTGAATCACAATGCTACTTCCAGCTTTTTCTGAGTAGTTTGTCTCATGGACTGAGTAAAGTCTCATGGACTTTCCTGCCCAGGCTGGCTTTGAATCACAAGATCATCAGATCTCAGCCTCGTGAGTAGCTAGGATTATAGGTATGGGCCACTATACCAGCTGACCTTAGAGTTTTTAAAAGGTGATAAGATGATGTTTATGAGAGTTCTCTAATTTTATTTTGAGCCTTTTACCCACAGATACTATTGTTGGAACACTCATGTGAGTGTGTTTGTGCCTCCCAATGAGGCTTGGGTAGATAAGACACTGTTGAGAGCACTGAGCAGATTAAGGGCTGGAAGCCTGCAATAGCTTGGTGGAACACAGCCAGGGGTTGGATGCCTTCCTCTTGCCCCTGTTCAAGTCATGGCACCTCTGTGAGCTCCACTTTCCTCATCAAATCTATATTTGATCATCTTGGCAGGATTAAACAAGATAAAATTTATCAAAGTTATTCTCTACACCATTTAAGATGTATAAGTATTCCTATAAAAACGTAAGCAGGCTGGAATAAAATACTACTTTTAATAGTCAATACATTTTGTGTTGATAACTTCAGAATTCCTCTATAAAACTGATGGGCCATATAAACTTATAGACAAATCCAGAAGACCATTGAGAATGTTAAAGGAGAACAATATGAAATCCAGTGAATCTGTGAATGATGACAAAATGAAACTTACTGAAGGCTATTGAAAAATAATAGGGGATGGTAGGAATAAGATAGAGTAAACAAGGGGGCAAATCTGATTAATATACTATAGATGCTACATATATGCATAAACATTAAAGCATTGTACAGAGAAGGATGTAACTGCTTAAAACAAATACTAGGAAGCTAGATCATGGGTTGTCAGGGGAGGTGTGAGGTCATCGGGAGGTGGGTGGATGAATGGAGAGAGGAAGGGTGGATAAATACAGTCTTACTATTCAATGTGTCTATGTGAATATGGAGCTAGGTAGGTGAGGATCACAGATGGGGTTGAGATAGATGGTGGAAAATGATGAACTGGGTGCCACTGATCAAGATACTCATAAACTGACACGTTAAATTGAAACCCCTTGGTACAACTACTTAAGGATAATAGGAAAAATAAAAATAAATAAAAGGTACTGTGTAGACATATGTAATGTGTGGTGAAACCCTTTTGAATAATTAAAATATACTAAAAATGAATGCCAGGAATATGAAATATGTTTTATCTGATGGGGTATGGGTACTGGTGGAGGAGGTAATTGAAGAGAGTGAAGAAGCATGTCTGTAGTTGAAATACTGTATGAACATGTGTGAATGGAACAGGGAAGTTTGTTTACACTCATTTGGGAAGAGGGGAAGAGGGAGTCAGAAGGACAGAAGGGCCAAGGCTGATTAAGGTACATTGCATGCATATATGGACATGTCAAAATGAAATCCCCTTATACAGCAGATTGGTGGTAATAAAAATATAAAAACAAAAAACATTGAGAGAAGACGAATGCTCTTCTCAGAGCAAACAAAATCATGCCTGGTTCCAGTTGTCTTTCAAACTCTAGGTTATGTCTTCAATAGCACTATCCTAGTCTCTCTCTAATTCTGCTTCATTTTCTAAGTGCCAGAGGTCTTTGAAATGATGATCATATACAATGTTTTAGGTCCTCTTGCAGATTGTTTTTGGTTACTTGGAATTCTTCATCTGTGTATCTGAAACTAGAATGACATTACCTTCCTCCCCAATGAATTCTGTGCTTTCTTTGAAGTATATCAAGTGATCGTGGTAGAGCTGTAGCTGGGCTGCAGGGACCCAGAGAACTCCTTCTCCAACCTTCATAACCCATGTGAAGCAGTTCTTTGAGGTGGACATGGAAAATAACTTTTCTACTTATTTTTCAGAAGTAACACCATTCAGTTAAATGACTCACCAAGGAAACACTTTTGTAGGCTCGGAGACTTGTTCCTTCAGAAGATATAGAATATAGAAGCCCAGAGCAAACCATTTGAGATGTGAAAGTAAAAACAAAACAAAACAAAAAAAAACAGCAAGGCACCTGGAGTTAGAGGGAAAAGAGGAGAAAAGATTTTCCTTCTGGACTTTTAGAGTCTTACAATTAGTATCAAATACTGAGCAAAGCAGTTAAGCTTGCAAATTCAATTGTTAATCTGGAACAATTATTGAATTATTTTTCAATCTGCTCTTCTTTGTGTAGGCTCGGCCGGTAGATTACCCAAAGGATTACCTTTCTCATCAGATTCCTATATCATTCCACAAACATTGGAACATTGATCCAGTGAAGGTGTATCACACGTGGCTGGCACCCAGCATGGAGGACAAAACCAGGCAGGAGACACAGAAAGCTTCTAAGGAAGAGTTATAGAGTGTGATGGCCCTGGTGTAGAACATGGAGAGGAACAGCCATGGAGACCTGAACTGTCCCACTGGGCTGTGTTCATCATACTGCTTGCGTAAGCCACTGGGCACTGGACACTTTGTGACATGAGGTGGAAATAGTGCATAGGGTATTGATGGGTGAATAAAAGTACTCTTAGGGGAAACGGATTTTATTTTATTTTTTTTCTAGGAAAAAAAAATTACTTGCTTTGTGATGGATGCCATTACTGTAACACAATGTTTACTGTGCGTTTTCTAGGCTGTGATACAGCAGCTTTAATGCTGTCATGGGGAAACAAATGGTACCCGAAGTCCCTTCCCCGTTCCCTCTCTTCATGATGAGTTTCAGTTGGGCATGAGAGTGGGGAAATGTGACTGGCTATCATTTCCTATAAAGAATGATGACCTTTTTGTTGTGGATATTGCCCATGGTAATGAACTTTTATGCCATATTATTGATAATGAAAATTCGTTTCTGGAAACTCAGTTGGAATGGTACTGTATTAAGGGTGATTCATAAAACATCATAAAAGCCTAAATATAAAAACTCCCTGTCGTCTATATAATATGGTTGTTATATTTTTATCTATTTTTTTGCTGCTTATGGCCTATCGAAAGGCCTTTGGCCTGACTCTCCTGTTTCTTTAGAAGTTCATCTATGTGCCATTTCTCTCTAAGCCCCTATCTTTAAGGCCAGCCAGAAACGAAGATCCTCAGTATTTCAAAGCAAGTCCATGTGTCTCCCTCAAGTCAGCAGCTTTTGAAGACTCAGGAGGTGAATTCCACGTAGACCTGGCATTGTACCTTGTTTCTCTGTGAGAATTTCTCCTCTGGCTTGGCATAGACACCTTAGCTCCAGCCAGTACCCATGACACCCTCTGGGAAGGCTGGCACAGGGACTTGGCAATATGTCTGAGTTCTTAAACAGTGACATTTGAACATAGTGTTAAAAATAGCTCTAGTTTGGAAATCCTATATTTAATATATAGTAATTTAACACATTCAGTATTACTCTATAAAAAGTACTCTATATTTTAATGCTTTTAATTCTATTCAGGTTTGTAAAGATATTTGCATAAGATTTCATTTTAATATGTCATACTAATTTTGGTACCGTAGAATACTTTCTTCTTTTTTAAAAAAACAAAATTGTTCTTCATTAACTTTGCTTATAATGCTTTTTGTAGCCAGGCACAGGGTTTTAAAGCCATATCACTGAAAGTACCTGTGTGTGTGTGTGTGTGTGTGTGTGTGTGTGTGTGTGAATACTTTTTTTTAAAACAATATATACATATACCTTTGATGTAACTTAGATTTAACTAATTTCCAAAGTGATGCAGTAGCTTTGGTATATTAGCCAGTACCAGGATTGGCAGGTGACAATGCAGGTTAGTACTGGCAGTGCACGCTGGGCACTGCAATGGATACCCAAGGCTCCAGTGGACACCCAGGGCTCCAGTGCACAACTGGAAACCACAGTGCACATCCAGTACTGTGGTAGACACCCAGTCCTGCAGTGTCCAGCTCTGAAGCCAGTGTTCACACACTACAGTGCACATGTTATACTGCACTGGACACTCAGTGCTGCAGTGGACACCCAGTGCTCCTGTATACATACACAGCACCGCAGCACACAGTGGACACCTCATGCCAAATTGCCTCAGTGGAACACTCTAAATTCAGTTTGCAAAATGGCTTTGTGACTCACCGAAGGAAGGGATTGAGGACAACCACGGGTTAAGGGGCTCTCTAGGGATTTCTAGACCTTCCAAGGCTGCTCTGATTCTGTCAGCACTGTTGTTCTTGCAGCTGGGATCACTGTCATTTCTACCATGAAGGAGTACTCCTGGAGGACCTGGTGGTAACAGTAGTGGAGAAGAGTCTTGGTTTCTTCTGCCTCAGCCTCTGTTAACCTCAGAAGACAGTGTGAAAGTGTCTGCACTGGGAAATCTGCACTGGGCTTGCTACTGTGTGTGACCAATGCCTCCTAATGAGCCTAGTGTGCTGCCTCTGGCACTTTGAGGTGTTTGTTAGTTAATGTTTCCTTTTGGGAATTCTGTAAGTCCAAGTATGAATAAAACATCATTGTCCAGCTTTCTGATTTCTCAAATGTATTCGTTAGTCAAGACGAGATTAGGAGTGCACAGAGCATGGGGGAAAAGGATCCATGAAGAAATCGGGGAAATGCTGACCACTCAGTAAATAAGAGTGCTGAGAGAGAGAAAATAATAAAAGCTAAGCTTAATGTACAGTCTGTAAAGTCATTCTACTTTAATATATGACAAGTCAGAGATGCCATTTGACAATTGAGATTAGAATCAATATTGCATCTGAACTCTGCAGGACAGGTGTCCTCTTCTTTCTTTTGCCCTTTAAGGAGGGATGTCTTCCCCTGTAGCTATTTTTTATCCTAAGGATTAACACCAGAGATTTATGTGTGGAATTATCAGAAGGTCATTTTTACTTTTAAGCCATTTCAGGTGATTTAGCTAGGTAAGAGGTTCTACATCTTGCACTTAATCAGAAATCAAAAGATCCTGTGTAGAATGCTTGGGAGCCTAAAACAATGATAGCACTCTAGGTTATGAGTGATGCTGTGCCTGGACAAAAAAAAAAATATCAGTATCTTCTGTATTTTCTTATTTGTTGAAAACCTTTCAGGCTTCTACACCCTTAGCCATTATAATTATTTAGGCATGCATACTTCCTCAAAAACTAATACCAGAGTATAGACACTTGTGAAAATACTCGGATTATCTTCCAATTGTAGAGATATAATTATTATTTTTATAACATTAATGTTTAAATTATCTTTAAGTAGTTGTACAAAGAAGTTTCAATCCAACATATCAGTTTTTGAGTAGAATACATCTTGATCAATGTCACCCTTCCATTGTTTTCCCACCATCTCTTACAACCTTATTCATTCTCTCAAGTTCCATTTTTACATAGGTACATTGAATATTATGACTGCATTTGCCAACCCATCCTCTTTCTGTCCGTCTGTCTCCAATCCCCTTGACTTCGCCCCTTACTATTGTGTTTCAGTTTTCTGGTGTTCATTTTGTTAAACTGTCAGTTAATTGTTGAAAGGAGTTACACCACTGAAATCCTCCCATGCGTATACCATACTTGAGTCAATGTGTGTATATTTGCACCTAACATGTTTTCATACGTTTATAAGTTAAATCTAAACCCTACATATGAGAGAAAATGTGCCCTTTGTAGCGGTGTCATTTTTCTATGGAATAAAGTGAGTCAATACATTTATTCAGCAACTGTTGAGTTATTAAACACACTGTGCCAGTCATTCACAGACGCTCCATTGTCTTCTGTTTACCACTCTTGCTCATCCCTGCCATACTTAAAATACCTGACACATAGTAGGTGCTGTTTTTCTGTTCCCAAGCATTTTGTGAGCTTACTACTTGCAAACTATCTTTCTTCCTCTGTAGAATGAAGGCTTTGTTTCTGGTGCTGAATTAGCTTAGATGCAGGAAGAAGGGACATTCATGAGGGAGTTCCTTCATTATGTCCTGTTTCTGTTCCTTTGGGTCCAAGCTGATAATGTTTCTACTGATACAACAATCTTTTTTTTTTTCATTTTTATTTTATTTTTTATTATTATCTTTAAGTAGTTCCCAAAGAAGTTCCCATTCTACCAAACAGTATATGAATACAAGGTGTCTGACAACATTGTCACCCATCGCTCCTAACCCATCCCTTCTCTCACTTTTTTTCTTTAATTGAAATTAGGTGATTACATAAATTTCACATATTTCATAGTATTGTGGAGTAGTGACAGGTAAAGTCACAAACTCATTTTAACCTTCACAAGGAAAATGGTCATTATCATGGTCTATACAGTTTGTGAATTCTGTGAGCTTTGACAATACAAGTTATTTTTTCCACATCAGGTGATGTTTACATTTCCTTCCTTTTGCTTAGTGTAGGCTGTTCCCAATTATTATGTTCCTCCTCCTGGCTTCTCTCCGTTGTGTGCATATATCTACCATATATATGGTCAAGAACATGGAGTCATTTAGCTATGATACAACAAAGTGGTAGCTGTCCGTTTCTTGAGTCCTGTTACTTTGCCATATCTTCTTGTATTGTGGCTTTAGCATCCAGGGAGACCATGTGCCGTTTGTCTCTTTGTTCCTGGCTTACTTTGCTCAAAATAATCTGCTCTAGTTCCATCTATTTCCCTGAAAATGCCATTTATCTTTCTAAAGGTTATGTAATAGTCCATTGTATATAGGTACCACAGTTTTTGGATCCACTCATCAGTAGTGGGGCATCTGGGTTGTTTCCAAATCTTGGCTATTGTGAACAGTGCTACAATAAACATGGAGGTGCATGTGTCTTTGTATATGGCTTCTTGTTGTTCAGGGTAGATGCCTAGGAGTATGGCTGGGTCATAGGGGAGGTCTATGTTTAGCTTTCTGAGGACCCTCCAGACTGCTCTCCAGAGTGATTGTATTAGTATACATCAGCAATGCAGTAGGGTTCTTCTTTCTCTGCATCCCCTCCAGATTTGTCATTGGCTGACTTTGGCATGTGGGCCTTTCTGACTGGGGTAAGGTGGTATCTCAATGTTGTTTTTATTTGCATTTCCTTTACAGCCAGGGATGATGCATAATTCCTCATATGTTTTTTTGTCATTTTTATTTCTTCTTCTGAGAAGTCTCTCTTTAGTTCTCTTGCCCATTTCATTATTGGTTTGTTAGATTTCTGAGGGATTAGTTTCTTGAGTTCCATGTATATAATGGATATTAGACTCTTGTCTGATGTTTTGCTGGTAAATATTTTTCCCAATTAGTTGGGTGTCTTTCTAGTTTGGTTGCTATTTCTTTGTCTGTTCAGAAACTTTTTATTTTAAGGTAGTCTCATTTGTCCAGTCTCTCTCCAATTTGTTGTGACCCTGGGACTCTGTTCAGGAAGTTCCTACCTGTGCCTATAAGTTCAAGTACCTCTCCTACTCTGTCCTGCAGTAGTTTCAGAGTATCAAGTTTGGTGTTAAGGTCTTTAATCCATTTTGAGTTGATGTTAGTGCATGGTGACAGGCTAGGGTCCACTTTCAGTTTTCTGCATGTGGCCAACCAGTTTTCCCAGCACTGATAGTTGAAGAGGTTATGATTCTTCCACTGTATGTCTTTGACTCCTTTATCAAATATCAACTGCCTGTAGTATGCAGCTTTATTTCTGGGTCCTCTAGTATGTTCTCTTGGTCTTTGGGTCTCTTTCTGTGCCAGGACTAAGCTGTCTTTGTTAATATGGCTCTATAGTAGAGCTTGAAATCCAGTATTGTGATCCCTCCTGCGTTGTTTCTTTTGCCTAGAATTGCTTTGGCTATTCTAGGTCTTTTGTTGTTCCATACAAACTTTTGGACTGTTTTCTCTATTTCAGTAAAGTATGTCATTGGGATTTTCATGGGAATTGCATTGAATGTGTATATCAATTTTGGAAGTAAGGTCATTTTTACTATATTCTGCTTATTCAGGAACATGGGAGATCTTTCCATTTCCTGGTATCCTCTATGATTCCTTTTTTAAAGGTTTTTGTAATTTTCATGAAATACAGCCTTTATATCTTTGGTTAGGTTAATTCCTAGATACTTTTTTTTGAGGTTATTGTGAATGGGGTTATTTCCTTGATTTCCCTTTCTGCTTGTACATTGTTGGTGTACAGAAAGGCCACTGATTTTTGTGGGTTAATTTCCTATCCTGCTACTTTGCTGAAGTGGTTTATAAGTTCTAAGAGTTTGGGGATGGAGCCTTTGGGATTGTTAAGGTATAAAATCATGTCATTTGCAAAAAGAGATAGTTTAACTTCTTCCTTCCCTATGCGGATCCCTTTAGTGTCTTTTTCTTATTGCTCTGGCTAAGGATTCCAGAGCTATATTGAAGAGGAGTGGAGAGAGTGGGCATCCTTGCCTTGTTCCTGTTTTGAGGGGAGTTGGTTGTAGTTTTTCCCCATTAAGTATAGCATTGGCTGTTGGTCTGTGATATAAAGCTTTTATTGTTTTAAGGAATGTTCCTTCTATCTCTTATTTTTTTCCAGAACTTTTAACATGAATGAGTGCTGTATTTTATCAAAAGCCTTTTCCAAGTCATTGGAGATAATCGTGTGGTTCTTGAGCTTGGATCTATTGATGTGATGGATTACATTTATTGACTTACATATCTTAAACCATCCCTGCATCTCTGGGATGAAGCCTACTTGGTCATACTGTATTATTTTTTTGATACGTTTCTGGATTTTGTTGGCTAGAATTTTATTGAGGAGCTTTGCATCTGTGTTTATCAAAGAGATTGGTCTGTAGTTCTCTTTTTTTGTTGGGTCTTTGCCTGGTTTGGGGATGAGTGTGATATTGGCTTCATAGAATGAGTTTGGGATTACTCCCTCTGCTTCTATTTCTCTGAAGAGCTTGAGAGTATGGGTGCTAGTTCCTCTTTAAAAGTCTTATAGAATTCTGTAGTGAATCCATCTGGTCCTGGACTTTTCCTTGTTGGAAGGTTTCTGATTGCTTCCTGTATGTCATTGTAGGTTATTGGTATATTTAATTGGTACAACAATCTTAAAAGACTTGTGAGTCTCCTGTGTGTATCAAGGTATTAGACAATGAGCTGCTCTACAGATCCTGGCCATGCCATCTGTTCTGCAGAGATAAAAAAGGGACTTATGAATCATACACTCTTTGAAGAACCTCTTGGGTAAAGGAATATTTTGATTTCTCCAGGAAGTACCCAATGATTGCTCAGATATGTCCTTGGAGACTTCCTCAGAGCATTATTCTTTACTAGTAAATCTGCTCATTTCAGCATTCTTAACAATCTTGATTTCCCAAGAATCTCACAAATTATCAACATTAGGCTACTGTTTTTTCTTAATAATTTTTCTCTTAATTTATATCTTTCAAATTTTACTATGGGTTGAATATCCAATATTTCAAATGCTTGGGACCAGAAGTATTACAGGTTTTGGAGTTTTCAGATTTTGGAATATTTATATAGACTTTACTGGTTGGCATGCAAAAGTTTCAGATTTCAGAGTATTTTGAATTTCTGATTTTTGGATTAGTAATGCTCAATCTGCACATGTTATAAGAAGAAACCAGATGTGCCTTCAGTGCTTTGCTTGGAATCTAAGTATGCAAGTTCAATACTTAAAACTTCTTTCCACATAATTGTATTATATACTTAAGGTAGATTTTCTCTTAACCAGTATTCTTTCCTCAGATTTCTAAAAACATCTTATTTCTCCCAGCGTTTTTCATTTATGTTTACCAACATTCAGTTCCCAATAAAATATGTGCTAAGATGATAAGGATGTATTAGTCACTATTTGTCACTATGACCCAACACCTTACAGAAACAACTTAAGGGAGGAAGAATTGATTCTTAACTCCCAGTTGTAAAGGTTTCATTGAAGGTCAGCTGGATGTATTACTTTGGGTCTGATGTAAAGCATGTTCAGAGGGTTTTCTCTTAGGCTCCTCCCCTTCCTTCTATACTCTTTCAAGCAGCATCTTTTTTTTTTTTTTTTATTGTGAACATACTATACAGAGGGGTTACAATTAGATGGGCAAGATAATGAGTACATTTCCTATCAAGCATTGCAGCCTCCTCCTTTGTTTACCCTTCACATCCCTTCCCAACTTCCCCCTACTCCCCCACCCAACCCTCCCCCCACCCCATCAAAGTTGTAAAGTTCGTTTTCGACATGACAACTTGTACTTCTCATTACTGCAACGGGTCCACCTGTATCCTTATTTAACTGACTTGTTTTTCCCCTTCCCCTCCACAAATTATACCGACATCAAATACAAGTGAAAGCAGGGGTTATACTGTGGGGGAGGGACATACAAAGCAACAAAGAAATAATCTTATAAATGCGTTAGAAACAAATGCATGAAAGAAAAAAACATTTGAATACATATCTTAGGGTTCATTTTCCTAACATCACCTTATCTGACCTTTTCTGCTTGACTCATACATATACTAGATACTGGAAATAAGGGAAACCATGGGACCTATGTTTCTTTGGGCTTGGCTTACTTCACTTAATATAATTTTTTCCAAGTCTTTCCATTTCCTAACAAATGGGGTGATGTTATTCTTTCTGATGGAGGCATAGAATTCCATTGTGTATAAATACCACATTTTCTTGATCCATTCATCTACTGAGGGGCATCTAGGTTGGTTCCATATCTTAGCTATAGTAAATAATGCTGCAATAAACATAGTTGTGCTGGTAGCATCTTTAACAGCCATTTCCACCAACAGTCTACTTAAACCAAGAAGGCCT